TTCAGCTTTTCCCGTTCCCGAGTTAGCAGTTTTCCCATTAAAATTTTCACGTGTCCGTACGTGAGTACCGGGTGGTTTTAACGAGCTGAATTTAAAATCTTTCGGTCATACATGAGTAGGGAACATTACCCTAAAGTTTCAGCTTTCTAGCTTTTCCTGTTTCCGGATTAGTAATTTTCGCGCCAAAATCTCCACTCGCTCGTACGTGAGCTCGGGCGATTCTAAACACCTGATTTTTGCTCATACATGAGTAAGGAACATTCCCTTAAAGTTTCAGGTCTCTAGCTTTTCCCCGTTCTCGGGTTAGTGATTCTCGCGCCAAAATTTTTACGTGCCCGTACGTGAGTCCCTGACGGTCCTAAGGAGCTGAGTTTGGAAACTTTTGGTCGTGCATGAGTATGAAACATTACCCCAAAGTTTCAACTTTCTAGCTTTTCTCATTCTCGAGTTATGAATTTTACCGCCATAATTTTCACGTGCCCGTACGTAAGCCCCGGGCACCCCTGGGCGGCTGAATTTGAAATCTTTTTGTCATACATGGATGGGGAACATTTTCCCAAGGTTTCAGCTTTCTAGCTTTCCTCGTTCCCGAGTTAGTGATTTTCGCGCCAACACTTTCAAGTGCTCGTACGCGGGGCCCAGACGTGCGTGAGGACTGGGACCGCAGCCCTGAGGTGGTACTTGGCTGGGGAAAACACTGGCAAAATTTTGGCTTCAAAGCTTGCGTGGTTAGCGAGTTGAAATGCCCGGACAGACAAACACACAAACACACACACACGCACACACACACATACAAACATACATACACACACACACTGACAGGGTCGTTGCAATGTGCGTTTTTGCTGCCTGTTATTTCTAGCGCTACACGGCAAAAACGCATAACCCAGACTGGACGCACTAGGCTCTCCGGTGCGATCATGCGTTTTTGCACTAAACACGCCGATCGCTATTAGCAAGAATGATCCTTACACTGTAGTCTAACACCTGGGCTCATATTGGCTGTGCTTTGGCTCCTTCCGGCATGCAGGAGGAAAGGCGTCAGTTGGGATGAAGATAGTGCATTATAGAGCCGCACGGGCATCCAGGTGCATGATTACCGGTTTTTTGCATGAAGTCTGGTCGTT